ATCATCAGGTTATGAGTGCCCAATCTCGCCAAGAAACAACAAGGCAAGCTGGAAGGCCCAGCATTCTGGAAGGCGAGGCCGCAGGACCAACGTATGGAGCCGCTGGAGATGGAGGAGAAGGTGGGAATCGTCAGTCTGCTATGCCGAATGGTGTCCCTTTGAGACTTCAGAATGCTGGGGTCAGATCTAGGGATTCTGGTGATATTGTTGAGCGAGCAGCTGCAACTCAAGTGGATGCTTCGCAGACCGGACCGGGCGCGACGACGACACGCGGTGCGGGCGAGGTTGGTTTAGACGGTAGACAACAGGACCTGCCACGAGCTTCACAGCAGCCCCAGCATCCACCGCAGCAGCAGCAAACTGAAGCAACAGCACATCAACCGCAGCTGATACCGAATGCCAGCGTTTCCCCTCCACAAGTGGTTTCCCAACCACAACAAGTGACGCAAGATCAATCGACGGCAACTTTGCCACCGCCTCCGGGGCTCTTTCATGAGGCAGTTCAACAGCGAGCTCATGAGTCAGTGGTGCGAAGGGAGCTCTTCCATGTGCAACATGCCGAGCCTGCCTATGACGAGGGTGGCTCTGAGGTGGACGTGGAGATGCGGGGAACTACCAGACCGGCATGGTTCACAAGAATGAGCGAGGTGATTCAGCGAAGAGTGGTTGGACCCGTAATGGAGCAAGTCCAAACAGCTGGAAGGAGCCGTGGCTTGCAGTCACCAGAGTGCTCGCCAGCTTCTGCGTGGCATTCTCAGCCATCCAGGCCGACAACTCCGACGGCACCACTGATGAGCCAAGAGATGAGGCAGGCAATGACTTCTTGGACAAACCGTCCTTCCTTGCTCACGGCTGCGCCAAGGAGACAGGCGGAGGAGTCCTCCAATGGATCGATTTCACAGGAGGTTGTCATGGAAGAGGTCAAAAGACAAGTCAAGGCCGCTTTGGATGAGAGGGAGTCAGAGATGAAGCGGCTTCATGATGAGAACCAAGAGCTACGACAAGTGGTTATGGCCTTGGCAGACAGAGAGCTGGGTGTTGAGGGCGGTGGACAAAGCAGTGGGGCTTTGATGGATGGAGACATGGGTCTTCGAGGCAGCGAACCGAGAGGAAATCCTGTGTCTAATCCGCGAGACACTGTGAATGCAGGCCACCCTCCTCCTGGACTTTCAGCACAATCTCCCGTACCTGGTGGTGAACTCCTTGGCCGAGGACCTGTTGGGGCACCTCCGGGCTTGCAGTGGCGGGCCGGAAGAGCGGCAGGTGGTGACGGACGTGTAGATCATCTTTTACCTCCCGCTGGACTTTCGGCACAATCTTCCGTACCTGGTGGTGAACCTTTAACCCAAGGAGCTG